GTCAGGTTAGTCTCCACAAAGATTTGTGCACTGTGGTTTGAATCCAAAACCATGATGCCTTCTCTAGGGCCGTGTTGCCTGCCATCTCTGCTGCAGGATCTGTTGCAGTGGTAGGTGATTCATTCAGAGAAATGACTACCAAGATTTTCAGTGTGTGGATGTTGCTGCTCCGGGTGCAGAACCGGGACAGGCGGGCTGAGATTTTCCAGCTTTGAGAGCTTGTCCTTTGTAGTTGTTGTGGCTGCGACATTCTTGCTCTCTTACGTACTGCTGCTGGGCAGTGGGAGCTGGAAAAGGCTTCAAAGAAATTTAAAGATGGCATATTTTTTTCATTTAGAATTTCCTGACCTTTTCAGTTTGTCATGTTGTCTTCCTTCCACTGTGGTGTTTGCATAACTTTCTGTCTGTAAAATAAGGGAAGCAAAAGACCTTATCACTGTTTATTGTTTAATAAATAAGAATTTCACCAATATTTCAGTGAGAGAGTGAATGGACTGTTCTACTCTTTGTTTCACCTCTTGGAGTGGACAAGCTTTTTTTCCTTTGAAAACAGCTATTATAATGATAAAATGCTATTTTAATAAAATTCATAGGGAGTTTTTCTTGTGAATTTGTGAACACAAATAATGTTTCAAACAGAGAAGAAATTCAGAGGTATTTCTGGAAAGTGTTTTTTTTTCAGAAAACTTCAATTTATAATTAATTTGAATTGTTTGTCTTGAGCTTTTTTTTACTCCTCTTTTCTTATATAGTGACATTTTAGTAATGACAGCTGGCATTTCATCAACAAGTTTCACTTGTTGCATGAAATGGGAGACACATCAACCTGGAAAATAAGGAGCCCTTCAGTCAGTACCTCCTAGGCTGTTACCCACAGAGATTTAGGAGTAAAATAGTGAAATGCTTATCTCCTTTCATTGGCTTATGCTCTCTAGTAAGAGTAGGACAGAAAATGTAGTATAAATAGTTTGATTCTCCAAACTACAAACTCATAAAGATGAAATTAAGCATCTGTTTTCCCTTAAATGTACTACTGTATTATTGCATGTGGATTGTATCAGTGAATTTGCATGTTGTTTCAGGATCTGCAAGTAACTGTGACTACCTGCATGCCTTGATACAGCAACAACATCTAAAAAGAAAAGATTAAATTCAAAATATGATAAAAATTCTAAAAGAAAGATTTCTAACACAAATCCTTTCAGATATTCCCTTCATCAGTATTTAAGATTAAAACTGTTTTCAATCAGTAGTATTTTAATCTAATTTTAAATTTGAATGAGTTTTAAAATTTGCTCTAAAATAGTAGTACTAGTAGTATATACTAGTAGGGATGAGCTTTATCCAATTCATCCAAAGTGCTTCAAATGTGAAGCTTATGAACATTAGAAATGTATTTGGCTTGAAGTTGAGGTTTTCTCTCACAACTGTTCATCACTGTAGTAAGATATTGGTTTCAGTCCATGACTAGAAGGAAGGAAGGAAGGAAGAGCTTCCTGCATAAGCAGTTCTTTTGGAGTAGCTGGAGGAAAGGATCCGGATGAGGCAGCTGCTCCTGAGCCCTGCACAAGGCCAGCATGGTTGGCCTGGGAGCAGAGGGTGGATTCACTGGAAATGTTTCTGCTGTGTACTCGAGGTAACTGTACAAAATCACAAGGACAGAAGTGGAAGTGACATTTCTGCTGGTGGATGCGGTGATGGCAGTGGTAGAATGGTAGAATGCTAAGGGGTTGAAGGGACCTTAAAGACCATCTAATCCCAATCTCCTTGCCAACCTTGGGTTGCTCAAGGCCTTTTCTAACCTGGCTGTGAACATTGCTAAGGTTGGGGCATCCACAACCTCTTTGGGCAGCCTGTGACAGTTCCTCACAACCCTCACAGCAAAGAATTTCATCTCTTCATTGCAGTAAAGGATAACACCATTGATGGGCCCAGGCTGGGGACCATTCCCAGGAGGCACACCTTTAGCCTGTGGCCACCCTCATGGTAGCCCATGGGTGTTTAATATTTGGGCAGAGGCTGTTGCATGTAGCAGTGAGAGCCACAATGGAAGTGACACTTGTATTGATGGCATGAGCTTTTTCACCATTTTTAATTTGAGTTGCTTTTGTGAAGCAGAAACTTAGATAATGGTCATTATTTTGAAATAGCAAAATTTACTCCACCTCAGGAAGACTTCTTATGTATTCTTCAGCTTACTTGGAGAGCTTCTTTGGTGACTTTTTTACTGGTTTAGTGTTTTTTGCATATTTTTAGAAGTACGGAACCAAAGACGTATAAACGGGAAGGAAAGTAGCTGTAAGCAGAAGAGTAAACACAACATTGTCAGTTCAACATTGTTTATCTAATGAGGCTAAATCCTCATTAACTTCTTGTGTTTGATATACTTTCACAATGTATAGTCATAATATGTGTGAGAGTGCTCCCCCTTGATTAATGGCTCCTTTGCATGGCACTGGAGTCATTGCTTCCATTACCATAAGAGCATTTTGGACAGTATTGAACTGGCTGTGCCTGATGGGCCAGCAAGGAGAATGACTGTGTTTGTACAAAACATGTTTAATATTATTGTTTATATAAATTGGCTCCTTGTTCTTTATGATCAGAGCAAACCTCCATGCCTTCTTAGGTATTCACTGACCCAGCTGCAGAGGGCACTGGCAGGGGGATCATCACTCAGGCAGATCTTCAGAGCATGTACAAGTAGTGGATATGTCTCACCCCCCTTGTCTGCAGATTCCCAATCCACAGGGTGCACGGGGGAGGAGGTTCTGTTGTGGTTTTGCACTGTGCCTGGTCCTACCAGATTAATAGAGGTTTCATTCTGAGTTTTGAGAAGAGGTATTTCTGACCCCAATTGTAGGAGAAGCTACAAATACCCCAAAAGTTTTACCCTTGAAAACTCTTTATTATTTTTAATAGTCTAAACATGACATTTGACATAAAGATGTAAGTGTTTAGACCAGCTTCAATATCTGTGTTTAGTGTGTTTAATACACGATGATCTGTAAAATCATGCAAAATACATTAAGCTCAGGTTTATCTCAAAATGGCTTGTCAGTAGAGCAGTGACATGTGCTGCAGCAGTTGTGGTCAGCTGACAAACCTCTTTGATATGGTTGTTCAAAAGCCATGACATCTCCTGCAGCTCAGTGCCATAAACAATGCTTGTGTCAGATCCTGCCGTCACTTTGCCGTGGCTGAGGAGGGAAAGTTCAGCCCAGAAATGGACATTTTTTACTTTCTGCCAGGTTGTGCGAAATTCTGACAACCAGAAGTGACTCTGAATCCCCAGATGCACATCACTGGGCTGTCAGGCCAGGAGCAGTGACAGCAGGGGACTCTGGGGCTGCCATGCTGCATGAGATACTCCTCTCTGCCTTGCCCTCTAGCCTCCCCAGGAAATAACTCTGTGCCTGGGTCACAGCTGCCGCTGGCTTTCTTCCTCCTCTTGGCTGCAGGTTCCCCGCAGTGTCAGTGCCATGTGCCTGCCTGTCACACGGCTCTGTCACTGAGGGGGCGGGATGCAGTGTGTGGTGAGCCTGGCCATCACCTGAGGCTGCTTGCAAAGACAGTGCTAGGGCTGATGGTGCTTATGCCTGGCTCCCAAGCAAGCATCCAGCCATGTCCCTGTTGTGTTAGGGGAATTCCCTAACTTCTAGGGAGAACTAAATAGGGAGGATAAAAATATAGGCCTCTCTGGCTCCTTGCTCTTGTTTTCCCTGGCATAGTCCAGGGCTTTGTATTTATCCACAGTGACAATTTATAGGCCAGTGTAACTGAGGTCACTGTTTGGCTCTCTGTGTCTCTTTCATCATCTGCAACCTGGAGATAGTAGTGTTTTCTAGGGCTGAGTGAATAATTCATTATGTGGCTCCTTATTAAACAGATGTTGTCTTTCTGTTTGCAGATAGTCTACAAATGGATTGCATTTTGTTCAAATTTATTTGTTGTTCCAAATTATTCACCAAATACTTTCAGTAAATAATGTTATTGGCCTATAGTGCATTCAGAATATGAATTTGAAACTTCCCTTACATGACTATTTGTCATTGCTGGTTAAAATTCATTATTTCAGCAACTATGCCTTCCAGCAAATTTGTCTCATAGAGCTTCCCCAGAAAGTAAGACAAGGATGCTATGAATATGTTAAGAGTGAATGTTTAGGGGGTATTCTTTCTTCCTTATTACTAATGCAGCTGAAATGCTAATCTGCCTCCTTGGGTGTTGTGAAGATTGGAAAGCTGTTTTCTGAATGTGAAATGCTTCTTAAGTGGACACTGATACACCAGCCCTGGTGTATCACTCCTTTAGGTAGCAGGTGGTGTGTGGTTCCAGCTACTGCTGAGTGCAGGGCAGAAGGTAAGCAGAGGAGGTAGCACATGCTGTGCTCAGAGCCACTGGGCCAAGCAGTAATCCATGGGACTAAGTCCGTGCTAATGAAGAAAATGGGTGAGGGCCCAGGGAACGTGGCATGGCTTGGCTCTCTTCCACATGGTTGGATTTTCCTTCCCCAAAGATGTCCATACTGACTAATACATGTGGTGTGTGAGAGGTGCTGTCCTCCAGACTATTACTGGGAGACCTTCCCAGTAGTCTGAATCTGTGCCACAGCTGTACTATACAAGCAGTATGAATGTGTGAATGTCCCTGTCTTTGGGTCCTGGGTAGTATCCAGCATGTCATGAACAAATTTAAAAGCCTATGAGTTGTTCAGTGGCATTGCTTGAAGCACTCGGTGCTCCTAAGCTAAGCAACAGCTTGCCCACTAAGAAGAGATGTCCCCCTTTGCACCCCCTCTCCTGGAAGGGGACCGTGGAAGTCAGAAGTGGAGAGGGAAAAGGAGCACCCAAGTCAAATCTGAGTAGTGGTATATGTTTGATAGTTTGGAGTGAGGGCAGCTATTCTTCAGGCCTGTTCTTGAAAGACATACCTGCCAAGCAGCAAGAGGAGAGGGGTTTTGTCCTATGGCTCCTCACACAATGCCATTTTGTTTTTAGCAGATAGACTGGGGCCTCCTCTGGATATTCTGCTGGATTCACTGAACTGCACAGCGTTCAGCGTGCAATGGAAGATGCCAAAGCAGCACGCCAGCACCATCACAGGGTACACGGTAAGTGATGCTCCGTGCTGCTGCCTGGCTCAGGCTGCACACTCTGAACCCAGCAGCACAGCCCCTTCTCCTCACAAACAGTGCCACTGCCCAGAAAGCAGCCAGGGGACAGTGGGCTTGAGCGGACTGAGCTGTAACCTTAAAAAACAAGCAGCTCGTGCTCTAGAAACAAGCTGTGATGGGCATTTGGGTTGGATGCCAAGGGCCTGCAGTGGATATAGATTGCTGTTCTGTTGTGGTTTTCCTGCAAGGCTCTCAGTGATCTCTGATAACACAGTAAAGTAGAGCAGACCAGGTCGATATTGCACTGGGCAAGTGAGGGTCATGCAGATCCTTTGACTTGTACTTCCAGCCTGAGGGTTACTTTAGCAGGAATATGTTTTCAAACTAAGCCTCTAAACTTCCCAGACTTGCAGCAGGTACAAGGGAAGGACTGTTTCATGGAATCTCTTCCTAGATAGGTACTGTACTGCATAGAATCCCTGGGAACCCACCTGCAGACATAAATATCAAAAGGGCTTTTGTTTTGTTCCCCCCTACCTCAGAAGTCAGTTTCTGTTAAAGAAGCTGAATGATTTTCCTGTTGCACTCAGCAATTTTTTTGGGAAGTCTCTGACCCCCATCAAGCCTCTGCCATGTTACCTTCTGCCTATAGGACAAAAGAGAAGGGCTAGGCTAAACTGGTGACTGTATTTTAGTGTGCAAGAAGAAAAACAATGAGCACTAACATGCCATTCATTCATTTTTGTTAGGTATTGTTTTAACAGGTATTCCATGGCAATGAAACTCAGTCCCAAAATAGAAGTGTGTCAGTGGGAAATTAGCACCAAAGGTGTGAGAAGTTGACTAAAATGCGTTGCTTTCCCCTTTGACAACAACAAAAAAAATGAAATGAATAGCAGTTTTTCTTATTAGCATTTTCTGTGGACAGATTTGAAATTTCCAGAAATAAAATGCCCAAAACTCAGCTTTATGTAAAAAGGTGGGAAGCAGAATACTACTGAGTACCTTACTATCAATGTACACTAAGATAAAGAGAAAAATCCCTGCAATAGGCATTTCTGGTACACATGCTCCTTTATCCCACAGTCTTGTAAATGACACCAGTGCAGCCCAGCTGCAGAGTTCCTTTTTTTTTGTTATGAAAGTGCTATGAACTAGAATATAGTAGTCTAAAACGCCAAAAAGACTTGCTGTGGCCAGGAGCTGCCTCAGGCGGGCTCTGTGTGTAGGTGGGTGCACTCTTCTCTGTGAAAACAGAGGTGCAGGGAGTAAGTGGCCTAAGTCGTACACAATGGTCACTCTTCATGCATCCAGATCGAGCATCTGAGCTCCACTTCTTTCGTTAAACCTTGAGCTGGTGTGTGGCATGATCATAAAACCAATGACAAGCAGCAACAATAGTGCTCTACCCAAAATGTCTTCACTGTAGTGAATGTAGTACCTTCCCAATGTAATACCTTGACCCTCTGGCATCTCTGGGTCTGTGTGCACAGGAAAGCTGACTGTCTGTCTCATTAGTCCCCAGTACGTGGCAACAGACATGGAGAGACATTTTATGATAGAGCAATTTTTATAATGTCACAATCATGAAATGTCAACATCTTTCTTGCATGAAGTAAGGTGTCTGTATAGTCCAGACTAGTCCCACAACTCTTCAGCTGTCCATGTTAACCACAGACAAATGATGCACAATGAAGCAGCTCAGGCCTGTGCTACAAGCACTACAACTCTGTTCCACATTAGGTAAGTGTATTCACTGTGTGGTGGTGTCCTTTGGTCACACTGACAACTTCCAGCAAATATGTAAGGAATATTAAAGGACTTCAGCTTTTCCTGCATTTGAAAAGGCAGGGGATCATGGGCTCAAATTCTGTCTTCAGTGTGAGAATGATGCACTGGTGCACTCATTCTTAAGCTATTCTGAAATACTGAGCTATTGTGGTAACTGGTTTGGCTATGTCTTCTTCCAAGGTCTTTTACTCAGAAGTTGAAGGTGACAAAGCAGTTAAACAGCTCTCACATGATGTTCCCCTGAGTCTGGATATGATTAGCATGGTGAGTATTTCTTTTCATCAACAATCAGGACACTGGAGCAGAACATGCAAGTGGAAACTTGCAACTGTCTCCTTGAAGTTTTGTGAAATATGGTGAGAATCCAAGCCCCAAATCTGCACTGGATATGGAGCAAAAGGAAATCAAAATGATTTTGTGTTTGAGTGATGCACTTTTCCTCCTTTGTCTTGCTGTTTTATTGTGTAAAACTATTGGGACTTGCTCTCAGCTTCCTAGTGCTGACCTTTGTCAAGAAATCTACTAAAATAGAACTTTTAATCTTAAATGCATGCATTTTCACACATGGAAGGGGTGGAATTGCATGAGTCTATGAGAGAGAGCTGCATTGTCACTGTATGTGTATTGCAGTGTCTGACACAGCTGTGTGATTAACACACAGGGTGTTTCTGTTTCTGTGTGAGACTGTGGCCTCCTGAGATATGGCCACTTTTGTTGCAGTTCTGGAAGTTCATATTTTAGAAGATTCCCCCAGCTGCTGGTGTTTATTTTGTTCTTGAAAGGACTACTTTTTCTCATTGCTCTCCATTGTTTTTAATGTTATGTTTTTCTTTTATATCTCCCTTGCATTCTTGCTTTGGGTTTTTTTTTTTCCCATTTTCCTCTTCTCTTTGCTCCTTCCCTTTTTCTGCCCCACTTCCTCACTACAAGCAATAGTGAGGAGGGTGCTCGGATTTCCTGCAGGTTTCCATCACTCTGGTTGTCAGTTCTGACTTCTGCAGGATTCTGGGATCACAGTGAATAAAACAATATTGTTGTCATGATATATCATTTCTTTATTAATGCATTATTTTCTCCCTTCTTATCTTTATCTCTGTATTCCTTTCTTGTGTTTTTTGTTTCTTAAAAACTAGTTTTCCTAGTAGTGCTGAGAAAGATCAAACAGCACTATTTTTTTTATCTTAATCCTAACAGCAGTACTTCTTAATCAGTGGGAGAGGAAAGTCTGTATCCCCGTACTCATGCAGATGATTAACAGCCACACAGACTGCTATATGCTGCAGCATTGGTCTTGTTTTAATTCGCTGACCCATTATTTATGTGCTTTTGCCATCACTTTTTATTATTTTAGTTCTTAATAAGTCCTATTTGCTTTTTTCCAGGGTCAACACGAAGGACAAGCAATTTTTGTAAGTATTGCTTCACATGAAACTTGGTCACAGATGTGATTAAAAATTAAATTGAATGTTTCTGACTCGGTCTCTCTACAGACACATGCAAAATTTGATCTCAAATGTTGATTCTATGTAGCACGTACCCATGATCTTTTGTGGTCAAACTATTAGTCTCAAAACCTCAAAATCCACAGGTAGATAAGGTGGATACATGCAGGCAAAGTAGCTCCCATTTTTAGCAATGAATTTTTCTCAGTCACCAGAGGTATCTATGGATGTCTTGTTTTGATGGAGTAAGTTTGCGTAAAAAAATTAGATCTATCCAGGCAGTGAGGATTTATAGATTATGGGGACAGTCAAGTAGTCAGGGAGACAGTAGAAGGGAAGAACAGAGTCTGGCAGTTGGAGAGGAGATGAAGAGGGAAAACCTGAGCCAGTCCAGAGAGAGCCAAGGAGGAGGAGGAGCACAGGAAGAGGCCAGCCTTGCAATGCCCAGGAGGAAGGAGTGGGAGCTTAGCTACTAGTATAAAACAAGTTTGAAAGAAATACCAACTCTCCTAATGGCTTTGCAGCTGGTGAATTAATCAGATTGATTATTTCCAGTCCTGCACTCAGTCCAGTCTGCTTCCTGTGAGCAGTAAACAGGTTGGGTTTATTGTGAGCAGGAAGCAAGCTGGAGGTGCTCATGTTTGGATGGGAGAAGGATAACAATTTCAGTGTTTAACTGAAATCCCTAGCATCATTAGCCTCTTGCAAACTTCTGTTTTCTGAGAGCTATTTTAGGAATAGAGAGATCTCACATGGTTGGTGGAGCTCACAGAGCTTCTGTGGTCTGAAATAAGGGGAATTTATTTGGACAAAGGAGGCTGAGTCCTCAGGATGCACTTGAACCAGGACTATCTGGTTCAGTCCTAGATGAGCTGAGTCTGGATATGGCATTTCAGAATTGAGGTTCCATGCTGGACACTTTTTTCCTGCTTGATAAAAATAACACTTCTGAGGGGTACTTGTGGAGAAGTATGAATGGCTGGGATTAATCAGCTCCCAGCTGTCATTAATCCTCCAGGAAGTGGTGTTCTTGACGAAATGCTTTCTGTTGTATTCATACCAAACTCAACAGAAATCTGCAATAGTTTTGTGGTTAGGTCTGCATAGTTCATGTTTCCATCACTCCTCTCCTGGTGCTGGTATGACCCTGCTGCTTTCTTGGAGGCTTCTCTGGGCCACGTGGGACTGCTGTAGCAGCAAGAGCTGATTTGCACTGCCTGTTTCTGTTTATGTGTTTGTGTGTTAGCAAAGTGGATAATGTATTATTGTGTATTATATCATCATAAAGCAGAGAATATGTAAGTGACAGCAGCCAGGGGAAGTACAGATGCAGTACCTTTTAGTACAGGCAGTTGTTCTAATGGGGCATAATATTCAGGAGCTCCAGTACGCATAAAAAACAAGAAAAATCAATAAAAAATTAGTAGGCTCTAAAGGTGGGAGGTTTTAGGCTGGGCACAGAGCCCTGGAGAGCAACACTGCTCCCTGTCGAATCACAAACATACCAGTACAAAATGGGAAGTGACCAGCTGAGACCAGTAGTTCAGGGAAGGAATTGTCGCCAGGGGAGAGAGTGTCATTAAAACCAGCTCAGTTCCTGCAGCTGTGCTGTAATCCAGAGTTTGATGGTCTTTTGGATTAAAACAAAGCAGAAAACAGACATTCCTCTGGAAAACAATTTGTAATCCTGGTTTCTGTGAGGCAGCTTACTGAGCCTCGCAGTTTCAACACACTTGTAGGAAAGGGAAGCAGTGTGGCAGGGCAGGGAGGGATATATGGGATAATCTGTATGAAATTGGCTCCCCTACCACAGAAAAGGCATCACATTGTCTCACCCCGTTCAACAATGTGAGATTGTAATGAGAACACCAAATGTCATTTATCAGGATTTTAGCAAGAGAGTTGTGCAAGGCAAGAAAGTGAAGTTGGTGACTGTTGAAGCATCATCAGCAATTATTGAGTTTGGGGCATCAGGCTTCAAAATATAGAGCTAATCTGAGTGGAGGGGGCACTGCAAAAATTATGGGGATAATTCTTCCACATACTACCTAAATTTGTTATCTGTGAGGCCACTCTGTCTCTTCTGAGAGGGACAGAACTTGGGTTTCAGACCTGTCTTCTAAATACAAGCAAAAAAAGAAATTACCTATGTACTCTGAGGCTACTGGACAGTGGGGTACAAGGAGCTGTGTTGCTTTTCCAGGATCTGATTTTAAAGTGTTCCTGGTGTAACGAGGTTATTCCCTGACATTGCCACAGGTCAGGGTAGCTTGATGGTGTCCTGAATTTTTACTTATTCACTGATATCCCTGTCCTTGAAGATGAGATGTTTGGTTTTAGAAATACTCACTGTGTGTTCCAAGGCTGTGTTCATGGAGAGAGGCAGGTAGCCACGAGTGTGAGACATGAGTACACCTTGCTGAGGTTTTGAGGGCACACACGTTGAACTTGCTGAATACCTTAGCAGATATCAGGGCTTTGATCTTGACTGGCCAGGAACTCAAAGAAATTCTCTCAGTTTAGTTTATTGTAGACTTGAGTCTACAATAATAAAAAATATGAGTCTACAATAATGAAAAAATAATATGAGGCACATACATGAGTATCTAACTTTCTCCAAGGGCCAAGTTCTATTTCATACTATTCCTGAATAGTGTGAAAACAGTAAGACAGATAATGAAGGATTTTTCCTCATAAGCATAAGTGTAATAAAGAGGAATACTGGCAGGAAAAAAATGCACAGAGTTTAAGGGCAGACAGACAGTATGTATGGCATGGAGGATAGAAAGGCAGGAGTAGGGGCATCACTTCTGTCACCAGGAAGAGGTACAGGGTTTTCAGCAACTGGCTTCTCAGATCACATTGTAAAAGACCTCAGTCCCTTCAGCTGTGAGACTGAAAGACCCAGATTAATCTTTCAGAGTGAGTGTTCTTGCTGCCTCTCTCTGGACAGTTACTATTCCAGCATTGTTATCATCTCAGATTCATCACAGACCTGTCCAGATCATTCGAGCAGATCAAGGGTGAATGATGGAAAAACAAGATAGTGGTCAGGTGATCCATGTTAATAGGAAATCAGTGTTGGAGCTCCAAAACCATGTCCACAGAAATGACAGATGGCAGGGTGTTGCTGAACAATGTTGTAGTAATAATGTAAGTTCCCCAAAGAGTTGAGAGGAAGTGGTTTTTTCCAAAAGACCATCAGAAGGAAATTTAGCAGTTAATAAAATTTTGGGATTGTTTACTATTTTAATGCAACTGGAAGTGCAGATTTGTTCCAATATGAAGAAAAAGGCGAACTCTACATTTTCAAATACACTGTGACTAATGTGTTTAACATCAGAGAATGAAACCCAGAAGAGTAGTAGCTGTAAAACAAGTTTTTTGTAAGTGCTTATTTTTCACACCAGAACAGTCTGTGGTATAGAACCTGATATTTCTCTTTCCTTGTATATGCTGTCAAAATTCATAAGTTTTGGATTAACATAGACATTCCAGGTAGGCTGCAGGTAAAGAATACTCAATTTCTGTACACATGTATGTACTCTCCGTTAAAGATCAAATCTAAATGTCTGAGGCTGATCCATGCTATGTGAAGCAGCCAGTGATGAAATGTAATGTTTTGGTGATGTTTTCTATTTTCTGGGAGATTTGAACAGGCTCCTCTGAAGAGTGTTCATCAGCCCAAGCTCTTCACATGGAGCTGAGCATTGCCTCCTTTATGGTAGTTGTCTGTGGGTTAATCTTTCTGTGTTTATGGCAGAAGGACAAATAAGGGAAATGCTCGCTTCAGGTCAAGGCTGTTAGCGGAGCTCATAAAATTGTGAGAGATGATGGGATAGGGCTCTGCTCCGTGAGAAATTAAGGATCATCAGTTCACACTGCATCAAATTGCTTCACTCTCAGGAGGTTTTATGGCCTCTGAATTTAAAAGAGAAATAAAAACAAACAAGAAAAAAAAAAGAGGAAAACACACCAGACTGATACCAAATGCTAGCAGTTGGCTCAACAGAGGGAATAATATGTGCCTTTGACTTCACCAGTGAAAAAGCTGGATATAAAATGCAAATATCTGCAACCTTATGAGTTATGCTGAGGAATGGGTCCAGGTCAACCTTGTGGATTCCCCTGGGGCAAAGCTGCAGCTTGAGAGGAAACATGATTCTATTTGTGTTTGTTGTTTCTGAGCTGTACTGGGCAGAGGACAATCTCCCAAAGAGAGTACAGGGAAAACACCATGAAAGATCCCTAAGTCCCAGCTCACAGCAACCTCCCCAGTCACACAGAAGTGCTGTCACAACGTGCTTTTCTGCTCTTGACTTGGCAGGATGTTGTTATTGGCGACCTGAAGCCGGGCACTGTGCACCGCGTTAGCGTTGGAGCGTACAGCTGGGCAGGGAAGGGACGGCCCAGCATGCCCAGGGAGGTGACAACCTTACCCCAAGGTAACTCTGCCTGCAGGGCTCTGCTGCACGACTGGCAGGGCAGATGCCTGTAGCACGCACACCTGAGCTCTGTTGCGTGCAGCATCACGGTACTTCACTGGTACTTTTCCGCACGTGTAGGGTTTTAGAGGGGCAATAGCATGAGGGGAGAAGCCTGTGAATTTGATTGCTAAGTCTGTGGGTGTGGGGTGTTGTGTGTAGCAACCCAGCTGCTTCTCTAATGTTGCTCCTTTGCACTTCTTCTTAGATAAGTGCATGCCTCCGGCGCCACCCTATCAGCCCCAGATCGTGGTGGTTTCTGATTCAGAAGTTGCGTTGTCCTGGAAGCCTGGAGTGAGTGAAGGAAGTTCTCCCATCCAGTACTACACGGTGGAGTTTATCAGGCAAGTTTGCTAGTGGAGCCTGAATTTCAGTGTTTGAGCACTATAGTGTTTTGGGGTTTTTTTAACCTCAACTGCACTATTCAACTGCATATAGATATGATTTATTTACTTACTCTGTATTGTATGCTTAGTTTTTCTCTCAGTGTGTGTTGAATTACCATGGAAATTTAAAGACAAAACCAGAAAGGATCCAATTTGTTATAAAATCACCAATAAGTTGTACTTTCTCATGGAAAAAAAAAAAATAAGATCTGATTTGATCTGTTTCCTCTAACAGCGGCCTGGATTAATGAAGTTTTAAGTTTCTCCTGTCATCAAATGCTGTCAAACCATGCTGAGAAAAGGATGTTTGGCAGAGTGGTTTCCCTGGGCTGCTTTAGAAAATAATCCAAGGACTGGAAATTCAGTGTGTTTGACACTTTTACCTGACAAAAGTTATAGTATCATAGAAATATCAGTTTTTGGAAGAGACCTTCAAGATCATCCAGCCTGATCATCAACCCAACACTGTAACCCCTAAAGCAATAAATCACATAACCTGCCAGACCCAGACACCTCTTGAACATAAAGTTGTTTTGGTCTTGAGTTTGCAGAATTTAGACTTGCTTTGTCATGCTAATGCTAACCAAGTTTACGTGAAATGTTGATTTCTCTGTTTAGATTTGGGGGGAAAAGTGGGGTGTTGTTGGGGTGCTTTTTTTGTTCTTTTATGATGAACTCGTAAAATTCTCAGCAGTAGAACTGAACTGGCAGAAGTTTCCAGTCAACAAATTGGTTTTATAAGCTGCGTAAAAAGGGCCAGGAGGAGGTGATTGTATCTGCAAGCATAAACAAGTATCTGTACGTGACTTTTCATATGCTTGTGTGAACTAATATCTGCATACAAATCTATTTATTTTTATTTGTCTCAATGTTTACCCTTACAGTGAATGTAAAATTCACCCTTTTAATTCTTTGAGCAAATACTTGATTACAGGTTTTAGCTGAGGTTCCTGGAAAAGAAAAGAGAATTGATTCTTAAACTACTCCTATGTGTAAAAGGTGAAAAAAAATTGTTCTTAAGGAAAACATAGTAATTTTTAAAAAGAAATTGTTGTTGTTAGAACACACAGGAAGAACTTGATTTTCAAAGTACGGGTACAATCTAGAAGATATTGATGTAGCAAAAAGAATACCCAGACTGAAAACCTACTTGTTAACTGATGCACTTTGTATTTGGGCTGAAAGCCCCCATATTTAGTTGGAGGCCATCCAATATTCAGTGCTCTGCAAGGCAGGACATGAGAGCCGAAGATCCTTATCTCCTTTGTGTAGTGTCTGCTGTAGACCTACAGTGACATTTCTTCAATATCTCTTTTTGAACACAATTTTTATCTGAGCTTTTTGCTCTCTCTCCATCTCTTCTCTCTCATTTGCTCAGTTGATGGGGAAGGGATTTTGTTACGTTCTGATTGACTGCACAGTGGAACCTGGAGGCTTATGTAAACTTCTTCATAGCACCAGGAGCCTGCTAATGGATGAAGTGGGCACCATCATCTCCATCTGATGCACCAAAAGTGCACCCTTGAATGTTTTTGTTCAGCCAGGGAGTGGAAAGCTGCTGTTTAGGTCAAAAGATGCAAGTGATTGAAATTTCAGTGTTTCATTGGCTTTAGACTTTGGGAAAGAATTTGCTAACAGCAAAATGTTTTGATTACACTGTTTAGTTTGAGGTTTAAAGCTAAGTTGAAAGTGCCTTTGTTAATCTTGGGATTATGCTCTCTTAGCCTTGGAAGCTTGGTTGTATATTTGGAGTAAGTTCAATGAGCCATAAGCCCTAATGGCAGCTAAAGGTAAACATTTAACTTTAAGCTTCGTTGTCTTTTGCTGCATATAGTTTTAATTACTATAAAATGTATTATCATGAGTTAAAGCTAGTAAATTAAACCAATGTAAGACTAAAACAAATCAGCTCAAGTAAATTAGAATTAGGTCCTCTTATGTCAAAGAAATACACCATTATCCTGTGATTTTACAAAATTAATAACTTTCTAATGCAAATCTGTAATTTTGCTTGGGCACAGCACAAATGCCTAAAAACTCTGACATTGTTTAAGTAATTTCCATCTCCTTAGAATTAATTTTATGATTTTAACTATAGGAAAAACATGCTGGGACAAAGCATACCTCTCAATTGCTCAGCTATGATACTGGAGAAATTCATTGCATTCATGAAAACTCAGTATATTAATTGTTTTGAGATACCAGAATCTAATCAGAACCAGAGCTCGCCTGCATCCTGTCTCTACTCAGGGTCTAAATTTGGTGCTTTATTTAAGCACTTGCCTGAGGGATTTCCCTTGGGACCAAAGGAAGTAGTTGGTTCAGTACAGGCAGGGGAGGGTAGCAGGCAGCTTCAGGTAAAAGATGAGCTGAGCTAATTCAGACTCTGCTGTGCTGCTGACTAACAGAGGATGCTAAGGAGATCACAATCCCACTTGTCTAAATGCTGAAAGTCTGGAGGGAGACTGTAGGATTGACTCTTCACTGGATAGTTCTAAGGGAATAAAACATATATATATATATATATATATATGTCTATGCAACTTTTTAGGCTCACTGTAAATATTCTATTGGTTAATGGTGAAAAGTATTTAAAGAAAAATTACATTTTTATGAAAGTCTCTAAAGTGAGACCTCATACTTAAGTATATGAGCTTAGGTGTTTTTCCTAAAGATGCTATGCAAAATTAATTCTTAAAAATGTCTTGGATATTTTTACTCAAATACTCCAAATACTCAAATTTTTAATCCATGAAATGCCTACATGATCTTTTAAACTTGGTGATTAACTTATCTGAATTTTTATAGCCACATAGCAGCTACAGAACCACAAGTGTTTAGCAGCACATGCCCTAAAACAATCAGGTCACTTTCTTTTAATCTCATTGGTATGTAGATGAAATCAAAAGCTTTTAATATTAATCTTGGCATGCAAAGGAAATTTTTCAGTATCTTGGTAGTGACATGAAACTTCTGCTGCAATGAACTAGGCAGGTTCTGCTGATAAAACTGGGAGATTTATTAGTATTCAGATGTTAGGGTGGTGCAGATTCAGCATAGTGTTGTGCACAGATTTCTTGATTAGTTTGAAGCCTTCCCTCTCCCTCCCAGAAAAATCTACCCCTGAATCCATTCCCTGCTGAACTGTCTCTGGCACTGCACTGAACCAGACAGTCATTGTTTGCTTTTGTTTGAAAAGAACCTGAAACAACAGATCTGACCAGGGAGACACCTCCCAGTGTCTAGGAAAAAATACTTTTAATACTGTTTCCCTGATTATTTCATGAAACAGGCATATTTGACTAGTATTTAGCTCACTGCTTGTGAGATTAACTTCTTGAATGAGAAGGTAACTGATGAAGAAGGAGGAGTGAAAGATAGTAGGGAGGAAGTGCTTAACAACGTTATACTGTATTGAAGAATATCTAACAAGAAAATGAGTTACCAAAATTGTTCACTTTTCCTTTCCTCACAGATGGCCTGCCATATCAGTTGATCTATTTTGCACAAAGTGTCACAGTAATGTGAAATAATAATAGTTGCTAAAAATAATATGTTATAGTGCAGTATATTATACAAGAGATTTTTCCATTGCAAATGATGATGTATTGTACTTGTCATCATATTTATTATTTGCTGGAATACTTTTAAAAACCATTATAAGATGAATTTTTCCCTTGAGATGAGTACAAATACAGCACGGAAGAAAAATCAGAAACGTTAGAAAAATTGGATTGCTAGGGGGTGCCTCACACTTAAATAATTTCCAGGTGATTTTAAAAGGAAATTCAAGTGACTATAAAATTGCTGTTCTCTGCATCAGAAAGAATTACCTTCCTGAATTGAATCAGTTCCCAAGTTACAACATAAAGCAATAATCCAAAATTTTTGGGTACATTTGGCATGGAATTCTTCCCTTGGTTTATACCCATCCAGTCCTATTTGCTTTAGCCATGTATTTATTATCTTAAAACCACTATGACTTGTGTTAGATTTTTTTCTGCATAGCGTTTATGTGTCGGAGATGCAGAGCTGCATCAAGAGCAGGCAATGTCCATGGAAGGTGTCTGATTTCCCCAGTCACAGATACAGTGCTTGGAGCTGACCTGCAAGGTGCTGTCCCTTCTGTTGGGGAATGTACTGCTGCAGAAAAGTGGGAAAAGTTGTACCAGAATGAGCTTTTCCAGTGTAAAAGTTGACAACACATTGAAATACAACATAAAAAAAAAGGACTGTGAAGACAGTTTTCAACAAAATGTTCCCATCTTAGGGAACATGGGAGCTGGCTTGCCCTGGATGCACTCACCAGCTGAATTTGTGTTCCTTTCCCCATCTGTTTGCCATGTTTTCGTCTCATACTGTTTTGTTCACACAGGGAGCATTCTGGAGAAGTAGCAAAGGTCAAGTGATAAATCTCCCTCTTTCCCTCCTTCAGCTGCAGATCCTTACATGTTTGCAGGCATTTCCTTTATTATAAACTTCTGCAGAAGGAAATGTTGGGAGGGACAGTCAGTGTGTTTGAAGCCTAGCCTGCTGTTTGTGTTATCTCCTAGATCTTTTCAGGGTGCAGTGCCTCCTTTGGGTCCCCTCATCAAAGGTGTGTTGTTTCCACTTGGGTGGACACACGGGCAAGGTCTGTTGCAAAGAGGCATCTCTTGAGCTAGCAGGAATTCCTTGGATGAGAATTAGAACCAAAAAAGGATGTGTACAGGAAAATTGAAAACACTACTAAGCAAGCTTTTGGAAGGAGGCAGTGTTAACAGCTTTCATTTGGAAAACACTATATATTTTCATTTTGGCCCAGGCATCAAAAGCTCAGAGGAGGGAAACAATGGAAGAGTAGCCAAAATAAATGCTCTTCTGTCTACCAGGAAATGGTGGTGAAGGGTGACTTAAGATGGTCTGTTTAGCTATCATTACATCTTGTGCGTTTGTCTTATTTTGTTTTTATTTTTAGCGAGACAATGAAATACTCATGTCCTGTGTGCCACTGTGCACTTGAGACAGGCAGCTGGGAGCTGCTGCTTTGCCACTGCATTGGCCATGCTGGCACAAAGCAATGGACCTCAGTGATCAATAAATCTTATATTGACCACTAAAAGAAAACATACATTAACTTTGGCATTTCCTTCCAGCTGAAAATAAACAAATACAAAATGCCTGCGTTGTGTTATAATTTTTAATTTGAAGACTGTTGGAAACATTTGCAGCTAGTCCTGTGTAAACACTGGTAGATTCAGGGTGCACTTGGAGGTTATTTCCTGTAATAAATACTGCAAGGACACTGGAATAATTTTCTCTGAAAGCTATTTCTGTCCTTATTTTACTTTCATAAACTTTAATTTTAATATTTTGGGTGGCCTAGAGTGAATGTTTACATTATTATGTTGTTTGTATTTGTTTAACTTCTTATTTGTTCTCTCTTTGATAAGAAGAGGCCACTTTTGGAGAGAATGGAAATGGTGTGAAAGCATCTGAATACTCTCTCAGAGTACTTGAAGTTGCCCAACCCTTTACAATGTGCCTATATGCATGAATTTAAACTTGACAACAAACTGCCATGTGAATGGTTTTACTGGTTTCACTTGAAATATAATGGCACCTAGAGAAGTACTTATTGGCAGCTGGCTTCCAGTATGAATTGGGAGTTAACTAGGCATTGTCCAAAAGCAGCTATAGGAATGTTACTAAATCCGGGCACACAGGCCATGTTCTGTGCATTATTGTTCTGTGGGTTTTGTGGGTTGTCTGTGCGGTTTTTTTGGTAGTTTTGTTTGGGCTTTTTTTGGTTTGGGTTGCTTTTTTTGTCTGTTTTTCTGACGAGAAGACTGGATCCATATGTTCCTATGTAAGTGGATTAACCTGATTACCCGTGAGATCAAATGTTGGATTCTCATCTTGCTAATGCTTGTGTATGTTTGAAGGGACTTACTGGCTTTGGAACACAAACTCTTAAGAAATAAATCAAGACCTTTCCCTCTATTGCAAACTATTGTTTTATACAGCCACACAGGGAGGTGGTAACTGTGGGTAATAGACCCTCACTTGAAAACTATGAATCCAAAATCCACAAAACAGATAAAATTGACTGGATTTGTCAGTCATTCCTTGATTTTATAAGCAAAATCTGAGTAATTGGGTTTGTATGATTATACAGTTTTGAAATCACAGGCTTCACAGCTTGGTAATGGTGGGTTGCACAGTCTGATCCTTTAAGAGTGAAGGGTTTCAGTGATGATTTAGTAGATTTCTGTCTCATTTATTAGTGTATTTCCTAGAAAAGTATAAATGCAGCTAATTTATACAGCCGGCTTTAATTATTCAAGATCTGGTCTTCATTTCGTCCTCAAGGCCAGACCTTGACAGCAACTGGACGGTAATAAGAGAGCAGATCCAGATGGAGTCCATGGTTCTGAAAGGACTTCTCCCAAACACCAAGTATCAGTTTGCCATCCGAGCAGCAAACTCCTTTGGATCCAGCCCTGCCAGTGCGCCGAGCGACGTCATCCGCACATTCGGTGAGTACAGACACCTTTTTGTCATTAAAGCCAAACAAAAATGAAGTGTATCTGTAAATAAAGTGTATCTGGGGCAGCTGTGGAGGCCTGCTGGTGGAAAGAGTTGCTCTCCAGGCACAGTCACCTCATTCTGACACCTCTCAGTCCTGCCTGAGGAGCTTGCAAGCAGGCACCCTGTGAAAGTCCAGCCATGAGCAAAGATCTGAAAAGACCCAGGCAGAATCACTCTCATGCCATTTCTTTGCTCTGGGGGTCATTGGCAGTTATTTCTGGATTACTACTTTCTGAATTTTTGTGCCGGTTTCATGCAATACTAATAAGTGAATATCATGGGGGAAAATGAGAGAGAGGAATCTATTGTTCATTTTTTCTGTTCTTTGAAGCTGAACCTTATATATTACATTTATAATTCCAGCAACTCAGAAAGACCAAATCAAACTTGTACAGTTTTCTGAGGAGTAAGACTCTTAAGCACAGTCATGAAAATAATTATATAAAGGAATAAGCACCCCTTTTTGATCAGAAGCTGCATAGCAAAAATATTAGGTGAATCTGCCAACATAACAACTTGTTAACTATTATATTTACATTGGTGTAGCAATATAGACCATGCACACTGCAGTAAGTGTTGATCCAGTTGCTGCTGGGCTTCCTCAGGATGCAATCCTCTGCCATACTGGTTTCTCTGTAGGCTGACTTTAAGGGGCTGTTGCCCCTCATCACACCCAAATTCATAGCTTGTATGTGAGAATCCCAACCAAGACAACACAGAGCATACAGGGAATCACGCAAATCACATCTTCTAACAGCAAAAAACCCAATGTCACAAAGAGAAACAATGGAGGAAACAGAGCCAAAGCCAGCAGGGTATGGGAACTAACTGAGCTATATCATTAATGTTTCAAAATTTTTCTATACAAATGTGTACTATACAGTACTTTTAAGTGCCTTTTTTTTTTCTTTTCTCACTCTCTCAATTGCAAACCATCTCTAATTAACATGAAAATGAGCATTCAGGTAGGACTGTGAGCTCTGCAAGAAGAGTTTGCATGCTGCAAAAACACAAACAACATGCTTAGTGATCCACCAGTTTAACCTGATAAAGATTTATTTCTGAACTGCCTCTCTGTTGCGGAATCCCTTTTCTCATTGACTCTAATATGGCAGTTTCCATTCCTTTTGTCCCTCTGTCATAAATTCAGTCACTTGAACAGTTTGCATGTAGTTTGCTATGTCTGCTGAGCTCATAAGTTTAACTTCTGAAGTAAATGTTTGTGAAAACCTTGTGCAGTGTACTCTGGAGTTCCTTGGCCCATGGATCCTCCAGGGTCAGCTCCTGCTGCCTCAGGCACACGTGTGCTCCCTGGTATCTTGTTTATCTTTGGATGTTAGCAGCTGCATCCTTTGGTCAGAAAAGATAAAGTGTTTAGCTCTGTTAATAAGGGTGGAATCATCCTCATGCTGTGCTTATTACTGCAGTACTCCAGGGAAAACACTTTGCCTTGGAAACTACTTGTTCTGCAGAGGCCTGCCAAGATGTCTCTAGAACATGGGTTTCTGTCATTAGAGCTTGGAATCAGATTCACATCTGGTGTGCATAAGCATTGATTTCTAGAGAGGTTCATAAGGGACATTAGCTTGGTTCTCTATGCCTGGATCAGATCTGAAAATTCAGTATATTATGCATTTTGCACTGCTCTTTGATGTGGCTTAAAAAGTCTGTGCTGGCCCAGGGTAGGCACATTGGTGCTGCAGTGGCTGAGAGTTTGGTTTCCCAGCTCCAAGGGCCTGGCAGTGCTTGGCAGAGACCCTCATGAGCAGGCAGGGCTCCTGCAGGCCAGGGCCATGCCATGTCCATGATGTGCTCCAGCCCTGCTCCAGGCCACTTGCACTTGGGGCTGCTGTGGTGCTCTGGACCCTCTGGCAAATGCAAATGTTGTTCTTTTGTCAGTGTACTATTTGAAAATAGGCTTAAAAACTACATATAGCCACTACCCATGAAAACCTGCATTATCTTCTGGATACCTGTTGTCACAACAACCAGATTTGTGTAGAGCAAGGAGTGTTGCTCAAAAGTGTCAGGGATGCATGCCTTTAGAAATAAATTATTTGGTTTTCTGAAGGGAGGAGTGTAGCTGAGATGATAGTCTAGCTGATAGCAGCTCTCACTTATCTTTCCTTGTGGTGTCTCTGTAGGAGACTGACTTGATGTTAACCAGATACACAAGTACTCTGCATATTATTAGAAAAGCTGAACTTTTGTTGGGAGAAAATTTTTCTTCATTAAAACTGTGCAGAGCCTGAACATTTTTTTTCCTGAAAACATTAAAAACCTCTGAAGAATGATTTAGTGGACAAGTTTCAGAAAAAAAACAGGAATAGAAAAAAAAACCCCAAACTACACACTGTATTCAAAGGCATCCAATTAAAACTCACTCCTAATTCACATTATGTATCTGAAGGTACCCTCCTGCTTCTAGCAGCCAGAAAGCCCAGAATTTTAGTCCAGTTAATCACTCACTTCAGTTGCTCATGTGTTAGTGTTCAGCAGATTTGAGGTCCTCAAAGTTTTGTGGTTTTCATCAGTCACTGCAGGAGGGTATGTGCCATTCACAGACACCTGATAATCCCCTGGGGCTGGCTTAGGTGGCATCTGCTGCTTGGCTGTCTCAAAGTGCCAGCCAGTGCCCTCTTAGTCACCTGTGAGTTTGAAAAGGTGCCAGACAGCTGGTATCTCTGAAACCGAAGCCCCTTTTTTCTTCAGAGTGCACATCATAAGAATTACCACCTTCATTATTACTGCGGTTCCTCCTTCTACCTAAGCAGTGAAACATGCCACATGCCACAGATTTTTGATGCTGTTTTCTGCCTGCCCATGTATTCTTCAGAAATTCCTGAAATATCTTAGAAAGCTGGCAGAAGTTATGTTTGATTCCTTTGCATTACATTTAGCTCACATGGTGCTGGCACTAAGGTCCTTAGTGTGTTTGGATTTTAAAGATTCGCAGATTTACGCTTGTATATGCTGGATTTTTTATGCATGACTTGACATAAGTGGTGCTTTTCTGATGTTTATTTTAATTGGTTAACAAATTCCCAACATTACCTCAGACACAGAGGACCTTCAGGGTCCATGATGTCTTGCACAGGTTCTCTTGCATATCTTGCAGGCAGGCTGAGGCAGGGATGAGTCCATGCTACTTGGGGATGTTTTCTGTTGAGGTTTATCTCATTCTCACAGGTAGTTCACTCATTGTGTTTTTAAAATGGGGGTGGATTTGCAGTACTCTTGACTGCATTGTTTCAGGTCAGCATAGGAAAACATCGTCTTGGTTTGCTCCACTAAAGGGATGCTGACAGTTTCACCTAATGTGACAGACCTCCCAAGGTCCTTGAAAATAGAACATGTGGCCTTGATTATAAGCAGTTACCCCCTTACCTACTAAAAAATGCATGCTTCGTTAATTGCTCCATTTTCAGAGAGTAAAGAGAGGGCAAGTTCCCCCAAGGGTTCTCATTTATTTGTGATTTGGTTTCATTAATTTTTTTTCTAGAGGGAAATGATGCAATAAATCAATTTTTTGTTGCCTTTCTTAACTACAGTTGCACATTGTGGGCGTTTCACCTACATAGTTGTTGGGATTTTGTTGTATAAAATCTTTCAAAATGTCATGGACAATTCACTGGAAAATAAAAGGTTGCACATACTCAGTTTAGAAACAACAAAATAAACTGTCCCAAAGAATGAAACAAAAAAAAAAAAGTCATCACCTGCATTGCTTAAATACCCTTCATCTCCTCGGGAAACAGATGGAGTTTGCACTGTGCCTGCAAGGTCACCAGCCTTGGGCTTTACCAGACCAGCAGAGGAAGTGTCTCCTGTTAAAAATACCCTCCTGCTTGTCTCCACAACAAACGTGACAGAAGTGCCTGCTTAAGCAGGGCACATCCCTTCCTCTGCTCCTGGCTGTCACTGCCAGGATCTCACAGGGCAGGGCATTGCCACAGATGCTTATATATTCTGCATGGAGCTTGAATGTGTCACCTGAGGCCCAGGCACAAAAAAGGGGCAGCCTCTGAGGCCCAAACCTTGATTTAAATGGTGGTGATGTGTCCTGGGAGAAGGTTTTCCACAGAACTGTTTCCCACACATGTCCAGAGAATTTACAAAAGCAGTGTTACTTGTAGGTAACACTTGTAGGTACTTGTAGGGACAGTGACAAAAAGCAACAGTCAGGCCAGCCAGCATGCAGGGTCACACTGTGAGTCACTGAAAGCCATAAAATGTGTTTTAAAATGTTCCTGATGTATTTTGGATTAAGACCTGTGGGGGATTCTGGATGAAGCCAGTCAGTCTGTTAACACTTCCATTCAATCTGTCTGTGTTACAGTGCCCCCTGTTCTACTTCCTACACTCTCTCAGGTCTCTTCATCAGTATGATGATGGCAATCTAATTAGCAAAACAAAAGTTTTTGTGGCTTTGTATTTGTTTTGAGAAGGATTTCTTTAGTATAACTTAATCCCTAATTATTTGGAAAGAAGATGTCCAAAGTTCATGACCCCCACAAGTCCTTCAATTATTTGTAAAACAGGATTATAGGACCTGGTAAAAGGTCTTACTCAGACTTCATCTCCTTGTACACTGGAATACTGATTTAATTAAATATAGCCTGCTTATAATCTCTGCAGTCATTGTTTTGGTATTTGCAGAATACCACTTTGCTTAATTGTCCCTGATTTACCACCCATTATGAGATGAGCTCTCCAGGAAAGCAACACAGTGCACTTAAGAGATGGGCTGATGTCATGGTTTATCTACAAAAACTCCTGTTAATTTCTCTGCATCCTGTTTTGTAGTTATATTGCATCACATCACATGTGGCTATCATGTTATGTCCAGTGAGCGAAGACCAAACGTAGGGAAGGACAAGGCAGCTGAAAAGCCAGTGGTCTGATACCTCATCAGTCCTATGTGTAAGTCCAGACATGGTCAGGAGTG